GAGGGACAGCGCAGGAGGGGAAGACCCTCTATGAGATGGATTGATTCAGTGACTGGGGTAATCTGGAGGGGTGTGTCAGAGGAAATGCGATTGGCACAGGATAGAGCAAGGTTTAGGGCTGTTGTACATAGGGTCTCTATGAGTTGCAAACGACTCGATGGCACATAACAACAACAACATTTATCTTTAGTACTTTATCCTCTTTATTCACCAAAATGTATCTCCATATTTTTTGTTTACTAATGTGTCATTATATAAAATAATTTTGTTTAATCTACTTATTTTGTTACAAACTGGTATTATAAAACTAGGGAAGTCCCAAGTAGAGAAATGTCTTCAAGCATTTTTGTTAATTAAGGCAGTGTTCACTGAACACTCAACAGTTAAATCTTTGATATAATTCTTACTGCCCTAACCAAGTAAGCAAGGAAGCCAAGTTGAAGTCTTTGTCTGTCTCTGATGTCCTAGAAGGTAAAGGATTGGACTGTTAGTCCAAAGTCAACCAAAGTTTGAGTCTACTCACTGCTTCATGAGAGAATGATAAGCCATTTTCTCCCATGTGATTTATAGCCTCTGAGAACTCCTTGAAACAGTCAGCTATGACTTAGTTCTGAATTGATGGCAATGAGTTCAGATTGAGTTGATTCAAAACAGAACAATTATACACACATACGTATGCATGCATACACACAGAGAGCTCTGGTGGATTAGTGGTAAGAAGTTACATTACAAACAGTTTGAATCTGCTAGCTGCTCCATGGGGGAAGGATGGCCCATCTCTTCCCTTGTGATTAACTGCCTCTAAAAACTCATCGGAGAATCAGCTATGGGTAGGTTCAGATTTGACAACCTGGTAGATAAGGAATTAATTGCACTGCCAACACATAGGTAAGTAGTTCAAAACTACCAGTGGAAAATCTCAGAGGGAAAAACATTGGCAATCTGTAAAATGTACAGCCTCTGAAAATCTACTGGAAGGTCAGTTGTGAGTTAATTTCAACTCAAAGGCACATAACAACAAACATCAGTATATAGTTGTTGAATAATTCAGCTGCTAACCAAAAAGACATTTGTGATTTGAAACCATCATCTGCTTTGTCTGCTTCCGTAAGACTTTGCAACTTTGCAAACCTAATAAAGCGGTTTAATTTTTTTCTGTAAGGTTGCTGTGAGTTGGAACTGACTTGACTGCAATTGGTTCAATTTTTGGAGGGTTTTGGAGAAGAACATTTAAGAAAACAAAAATTGAAATTTTTGGTTATTACATTAGTGTTGTCAAGATTACACTTGTGAATTCCCCCAGAATGTTGATGAAAATGTGGTTCATGTGATGAATAGAATACCTGCTAAAGGAGATAATGGAAAGACACTTTTAAAAAGCTATAGCAATTAAAATATTACTTCAGTAAAATTTTCTGGAGGCAGAACAAAAAATGCTGTTATTATGGAAATAATTCACAAATAATTATTTTATACAAGTAAAGTGTTTTTATTCATTGATACATAGAATTCTGAAGGATAGGGAAGCAGGAAAAATATTTTTTAATATAAAATAACAGAAATGAAATTACCTTTTGCTACACTTACTTTAGGAAGTACACTTTAAAGTGTGTCATATTTACTTTTATAGGATTTAGTAGAAAAAACCAAAATAATGTTGAAAACATAAATTTTACACAAATAGTGTTTTATTGTTTACTTGGTATCATATGCATATATTGCTTTCACAGAAATGTTTAAAATGTTTAAAAGTCATAACCTAGTTCATGACTAGATCTACTGCTTACTTTGCATTTAATTGAGAATTGCTAATAAATGCCACATTAGCATTTTTAATTTTAACAAAGTCTTTTTACACTTTCTTCCATTTAAAAGACAGGGAGAGCCTTCAGTAAAATGTTCTCAAGAATCTTTGCATTAAGTAATATGTCATCATTAAGTAATATGTAACATCCATAGGTAAGTTAGTGAGAAAATAGTAAAAATGTTAATTATGGTGGCATTGATTAGTTCTAAATATTCTATAAGTAATAATTAAACAAAATTAAAAATAAAAGTTTAATTTTTAAAGTACATGTTATTTTGTTTAATCCTTATCCTTAAATTTATTTCACATTACTTGGCCTGAAAGATTAAAATAAAGTTTGAAATAATTAGTGTTTGGCACTATAATAGCAATTCCCCCCCTCCCACATTTCCCTGTATTTTATGAGAGATTACATGTATTTGTTAAAATAAAACTGTAGCCTTTCAAAAATTAAAGTACTCATTTGATCATTGATTAATGGGTATTAACGTACATTGTTCTGGTGGAAGATATAATAAATAGCAATCTTTCTTAATAGAGAAGTTGTCATATGCCAAATACAAATCTCAGTGAATTAAATTAATACTCAAAACAGCCATGGAGTTAGCTTAATTAATATCTTGTCCTCTTAGACATTAGACAAATGGATTGCTGCTTCTTAAATCAACTGTATTTATGAAACTTTAAAGATCTTCTTACTAGTGATTCAATATGAGAAAGGAGCTGAGCTTTGTTTATAAAAATCTGATGGCTCTAATATATTTCTTCCTAAACAGAGATGAAGTTTCCCTCTCCTTGGCAAACACAGCAGGTGTTCTCATTGGCTACTGTCCACAGCAAGATGCCCTTGATGATCTCTTGACTGGTTGGGAACATCTTCATTACTACTGCAGCCTGCATGGGATTCCAAAACAGCACATTTCTGAGGTGTGCATCATTTAAATTTTCTTTGAGTGGGAAAGGAAATAACTCAGGTATGCCATACCAACTATCTCTCTCTGTCAGCACAGTTTTTCTTGAAGGAGAAGAATATTGATAACTGCTATTGAGTTCACTGAAATTCATAGCTACCACGGTAACAACTGATCAGGACCTTACCCTATCCTGTTGCATCCTCATGATCTCCCACATGCTCAGGCTCATGCCCATTGTTACAGTCATAACTTGCTGAGGGTCCTCTTCTTTTTTATTGACCTTCAACTTTCCTGATATGATGTTTTTGGTTTGCTTGGGGTCTTTTGTTTTTGTTTTGGGGTTTGTTGTTTTGTTTTGTTTTTTCCTAAGTACTACCTGCGCCTCCTGAGAATACACCCAAATTTTGTGAGAAGAAGTCTCACAATCCTTGTTTCTAAAGAGCAAACTGGTTTCACTTCATCAAAACAGATTTGTTGATTCATTTGTCAGTCCATGGTATATTCAATATTCTTCATCAACATCACAATTCAAAAACATTGATTCTTAGCCTGTCAACTTTACTCACTGTCTAATTTTCAGATACATAAGAAACAATTAAAATTAACATGGCGTAAACCAGGAGTACCTTAGTCTTTAAACTTAGTCTTTAAATTTATATTCTTCTCTTTAGCACTTGAATGTGGTCCTTGACAATAGGTGTTTTTTTTTAATTAAATTTTTTAATACAACACATTTATTGACTGTTGCTACTGTGAGTGTTCATTGTTGATTAAAGTAAAATTAAAATATTAACAATATCATTCTTTCCTCCACCCATTATGATGTTGTCCATAGGTTCAATTGTGAAAATTTTTATTATCTTGATATTGAAATTCAACCCATATTTAAGACTATAATTTTTTCTCTTCCATAGCAAGGACTTTAAGTTCACTTAACTTTCTCCAAGCATGGTTGTTTTATCTACATAATTAAGTATGTTGTTGAGTCTTCTTCCAATCCTGGTATCCCATTCTTCTTCCAGTTTCTCAAATATTTGCTTAGTGTCTTTGTTGTTGTTGTTGTTAGGTGCCATCGAGTTGAATACGACTCATAGTGACCTTATGAAGGAGAGATCTGAAATCAGTCCTGTCCTGTGCCATCCTCATGCTTCCTGACACACAAGAGCCTATTGCAGCAGTCCCCTTGTCCATCTACCTGGTTGAGGGTCTTCCTCTCCTTCACCAACCCTCCACCCTTCCCAACATCATGTACTTCTCCAAGGAATAGCACCTCATAGCAATATCTCCGAAGTAGGTTAAGTGAAGTTTCATCCTTCTTGTTGCTAAAAGCACCCTAGCTGCACCCTCTCCAAGATAGATGTGTGTATGTATATATATATTCATTTTTTTGGCTATCCATGGAATGTTCAGTGCTCTTCTCCAACACCACAGCTCAAAGGCATCAATTCTTTTTCTGTCATCCTTATTTATTGTCCAGGTCTCACATGCATAGCTAGTAATCGGAAAGATCACGGCCTGAATCAGACACACTTTAGTCCTCGAAACTGACATCTCTACTCTTCAATAATTTGGAAAGGTCCCTAACTGCAGATTTTCCCATTGCAATGCATCTCCTTATTTTCTGACTGCTCATACTATTGTGTTAATTGTGGATCCAAGCAAGATGAAGCTGTTGACAGTTTCAATCTCCTCTCCATCCATCATGACATGTCCTATTGGCCCAGTGGTAAGAATTTTTTTTTGTTTTCTTGATATTGAGACACAATCTATACAGATTGAATAAGTACAGGAAAAGGATAAAACACAGACACATATCTTTCATGATTTCAAGCCATGTAGTTTTTCCTAGTTCTATTTGGGTAATTTTTTTTCCTTGGGTTTATGTATAGGTTTCACATAAGCACAACTAAGTGTTCCAGGTTTCCATTCTTAACAATGTTATACATAATTGAGGGAGGAAATAAGATAGAGATAGAAAAATATAATTTTGTGCAATCATTACAAAAATATTTTTTTAGAAAACATCAACTGTGAATATAGTTCTTATCCTCACATGATTGACTATGTAGGGTCAGATTGACTACTTCTGGGGAAAAAATTTATGAAGAAGGTTAATATCAGCAGTCAAAGCAAGGTCAAGGGCTGAGGGGCTTATGACCATCAACAACTTGTAAACAAATTAAAATTTAAGAGTAAGAAAATAAAAACAAGTTTATAAGAAGAAAAATATGAATTTAAGTAGTCCTTGATCTTGTCACAGAAGTAATCGATCTGACTCCTGTGCATACCATCAGGTGAAATCCATGTGTATAGTCTATATTTGTTTCTTATGAAAGGTATTTGCAATGAATAAATCACTGATTGTACAAAATTCTATCATTCTATTTCCAGCCTTATTTCTGTCACCAAGTCCATGTTTTCTGACTACTGCTCCTTCTTCTCTGTTCCCAAATTTTGCATTCCAGTCACTCATTATTATTAATGCATTTTTGGTTGCACGGTAAATCAATTTCTGACTGCAAAAGCTAGGTCAATCTCAGATGGATCTTGGTTGAAAGCAGAGAGTACCAGAAGAATGTATTTCCGTGTTTAATTGACTATGCAAAGACATTTTACTGTGTGGATTACAACAAATAGTGGATAACTTTGATGAGAATGGGAATCCAAGAATACGTGATTGTGATTGTGCTTATGCAAAACCTATTCTCAAACCAGGAAATAGCCTTCAGAACACAGGAAAATAAAACCGCCAGATTCAAAAATCAGGAAAGATGTGCATCAGAGATGCCTCCTGTCTCCATACCTTTTCAATCTATATGTGGAACAGATCATTTGGGAGACTGAGCTTTATGAGGAGGAATATAGCATCAGAATTGGAAAAAGACTAATTAACAACCTGTGATATGCACATGAAACAACCTTGCTTGCTGAAACTGAGGAGGACCTGAAGCACTTGTTGCAGAAAATTAAGGACTGTACCATTCAATATGGATTGAAGCTTGACTTCAAGAAGACAAAAGATTCTCACCACTGTGCCATTTGGTAGAACTATGATAGATGGAGAAGCGATTGAGGTTGTTAACAATTTCAGCTTGGTAGGCTCCACAATAAACACTCTTGGTACCAGCAGCCAGGAACTCAAAAGACAAGTTACATTGAGAAAATCTGTTGCCAGGGACCTCTCCAGACTTCTGAGAAGCAACAATGTCAATCCAGAGACTAAGCTGTGCCTGATGTAGGCCATCGTCTTTGCAATTAATTGCTATACATCAGAGAGTTGAACAACTAAGGATGACACAAGAAGAATCAATGCCTTTGAGTTATGATGCTAGTGAAGAGTTTTAAACATACCATGGACCACCAAGAAAACAAAGAAGTCTGTATTGGAAAGGGTGAAAATAAATTTCTCCTTGGAGGCTAGGATTTTGAATCTCCATCTCACATACATTGGGCCCATGGCCAGGAGGGATCAGTTCTTAGAGAAGAACATCATGCTTAGAAATGTAGTGGGATAGCACAGGAGAGGAAGAACCTGGATGAGATGGATTTACACTGTAAATGGGTCAGTGGGGATAGGTGTGTCTGAGTCAGTGAGACTGGCTTACAATAGGGAAGGCTTTAGAGGTATTGTACATAGTGTTGCTATGAGTCTCACCTTGATGGCACATAACAACAGTTCTTGATTTCCTGAAATTGATACTTCAAGTCCTACTCATTTTAAGCAAGCAAAAATTGTATCATATGCATAATTCAGATCTTCATCTGATTCTAATGTCACATTCCTCTTAATAGAACCCAATTTTATGAATTATTTGCTCAGCATATAAATTGAATAGGTATGGACAAAAGCTATATCCCTGTTCACACCTTCCTCATTCTCATTCTCTCTCTCTTTCAAAATATATTTTTCTATTTATTTTGGGGATTTAAAAAGTTATATTGGTTTGCATACAAAATTTGTATGCATTGTGTTTCATTTGTATACATTGTGTTCACATATTCTTTCATTCATATTGTTTTTCAGACAATCATTCACATAAATTGTGTTTTATAAAACCAATCACCATTGATCTATGCCTACCCTGTCTTTCAAAGTCCCCACTGGTTCTTTCCTAATTCCTTTACCTCCTCTCTGCACCCACAAAACTGAAACCTCACCATTTCCCACTTCCCAACCCTCAGTCTCTCTGCCCCCCTTTGGTCTTTCATACACACCTTGCTACTTATCCTTCTATTTTTACAATAATGATGTAAATATTATAATAATGCAATATTTGTCCTCATTAGACTAAATTAATTCAGTATAATGGTCCATATGCTGTCTCATATTATTATATAATATTTTTATATGGTTGTTCCCGTGTTCTGCATAGAAATCTATCTTGTGGATGTACCACAATTTCTCTGTCCATTAATTCGTTGATGGTCATTTGGGATGTTTCCATATTCTGAGATTCCCATTCTTCTCAATATTAGTTATCTTTTGTCATGATCCACATAGTCCAATGTCTTTTCATAATCAATAAAACACAGACATGTCTTCTGTATTCTCTGGTTTAAGCTAGAATCCATCTGACAACAGCAATGATATCTCTGGTACCATGTCTTTTCCTAATATCAGGCTGAACTTCTGCCAGTTACCTGCCAATGGGTGGTTCTAGTCCTTTTTAGAAGATTTTAGCAATATCTTGTCTGTGTGTTATATTAGTGATATTGTTCAATAATTTCTACATTATGTTGGATCATCTATGCTGGAAATGAGAACATATATAGGCAGATCTCTTCTAGTTAGTCAGGCAGGCACCCATCCTCCAAATTCCCTTGCATAGACTAGTGAGTACATCCTAGGTCGAATCTGTTAGTTTAAACATGTCAGTTGGTATTCTATCAATTTCTGAAAACTTATTTCTGGCTAATGTCTATCACAACTCAAACTTCTTTCTCCTGTTCCTATTTTACATCCTGTAATTTTACACTATTAATTGTTTTTGGTAGAGTGACTCTCTGTATTCC